ATCCTTTCTACAAAATGATATTGATTGAAGCGTTTCACTGTATGACCCACTGTGTTTTTTCCTGTCATATCTTTAAGACTTCTTCCTCTAAAGCAGTGGTGGGGGAATTTCAGTCCTCAAGGGCCAGTGTCCCACAGGTTTTCAACACAGCTGATTTAAATGGTTAAATTATCTCTTCAACATGTCTTGTAGTTCTCCAGAGGCCCAGTAATGAACTAATCATTTGGTTCAGGTGTATTGACCCAGGATGATATCTAAAACCTGCAGGACACAGGCCCTTGAGGCCTGGAGTTCCCCAACCCTGCTCTAAAGTGATATTGCAGTAATATTCAGTTTTGTCAGTAGATGGCAGTGTGGCTTAAATAACTGTTGCTAAAACCAGTTGAGATATTCATGCATAAATTTAACAGAAGCTTCTCTCTCTTGTTCCAACACGACTCAGATATGGCTGCTTGTGCACTTTTTTCTTTATCTTATGTCACACTTTGCAGTGTTTCCTCCATCCAGAAGGAGACTGAAGAGCCTCCAGGCCAGAACCAGCAGACTGAGAGATAGCTTCATCCATCAGGCTGTGCTGAATTCTCTCCCTGCTCTGTCCCTCTCGACTCTCTCACACACCAACTCCAGACCTGCATTCCTGCCGCTTCCCGCTGAACCCCCCCACACCCGAGACATGCAAAACTCTGAACCTCCACCATCGCCTTTTCACTGACTGCCCCAACCCCACTTGCACATGAGCTCTTGCCCACAAGCATTCTGATTGTGTTGGACACTGTTATTTATGTAAGATTGTATTGTATTGTATTGTGTTGTACTTAAGACTTTTATTTTATTTTTTAATCTTTATACTGTTTTAGTGTACACGAGGGTCATGGGAGCATTGCAATTTCAAATTCCTGTGTATGACCTGTAGATTGGGTTTTTGTCATAAAAGCTGACTTTGACTTTGACATGTGACAGATGTGAAAGAATCTGGAGAAGCTGTGGAGGATGTTATGCTGTCTGTAACATCGCGGAGTTATATCCAAGGAGGGATGCACAGACCTTACAGGCTAGGTAACAGCACCCTGACTGCCATTAGGTATCAGGATGAAATCTTTGGACCCACTGTCAGACCCTACACTGGTGCAGTGGGTCCTGGTTTCCTCTTGGTGCACGACGATGCCTAACCTCATGTGGTGAGAGTATGCAGGCAGTTATTAGAGGATGAAATCATTAATAGCATTGACTGGCCCGAACACTCGCCTGACCCCCAGGATAGCATTTGTCGTGACTTCAGGAGGATGTGCTGATGTTGTCAGGCATGCATAAAAGCATGTGGGGGCAGTACAAACTACTAAGTATCATTTTGAGTTACAAAAACAAAATTTTGGCAAAAAAGCCTGCTGTATCATATTTCCACTTTGATTTTTAGGGTGTGTTTGAATTCTGCCCTCTGTTGCTTGGTCATTCTCATTTCCATCACACATGGCCCAGAGTAGTGGCGTCCTTTAATTCCTTACACAGTACCCAGTCCACATCAGTGTAGAAATGACATTTTCCTTTCCACACTAAAAATTTGGGGTTTGGGGTTTTTTTTGCTGAAAAAAATAAAGTCAGGCACTTGTTTAAAAGAAAATAAAAACTATAATATTACTAAGTAAGGTGATGAAAAACATACAGAGAAAACCTGCTGCATTATGCAATTCTTTTTAAAACCCATGATGATGGAGGAAGTGATTAACTGGTGTTAAACCTTCATACAGTTTATTTTTAGATGTAGTGATGTTCATAACTGTCAGTTCTGTTTTCAGCCTTTCCTGTGAGAACGTTCAGCTGTAAAGATCTTTTAAAGATTCATACAATCATCTTTCTGACCAGAAGCTGAAATCTACAGCAGCCATGATCGTGGCAGAAGCTGGATTTTTGTTTTTGGGTTTCATTCTGTGTCTCTCAGGTAGGAATGATTCTTTCTCCTCCTTCCTCCTTACAGGTCTTAGCGTTTTAGCTTTGATGAGCTCTTGAAGAGTCTGGAAGTGCAAGATTATTTTCTTTTATGGTTCAATAATATCAGTGGTGGCAGTGTCTGGCAGCCTCGCCTCTGTCAGTGCACCCCAGGGTGGCTGTGGCTACAATGTAGCTTGCCATCACCAGTGTGTGAATGTGTGGATGACTGGTTGTGTAAAGTGCTTTGGGGTCCTTAGGGACTAGTAAAGCACTTTGTTGAACACATAACCTTATCTTGAGCAGGTATGCATGCGTGTGTAGGGCTTGCTGAGCCTTGGTCTCTCTCCCTTCTTCTCCTGCTGGGATGTGTGTGCAGATATTGCCAAGAAGTGTGGCCTCAACATACCAGTACCGGGCCGCAAGAGTTGAGGGTGGGGTGTGAAATTTATGGTTTTCAGGGTTTTTATTGTTAACTTGGCTTAGCTGGGTCTTTTCCCGCGTTGTAGTTGTGTGTCTTATTTTGAAAGAAATATTTCCAAGTTACCATAGCGACCAGAGAGCATTAAGAGGCAGAGAGGAGGATATAAAATACTGGCTGACATTAAACCGGTCCGTGGCGCAAAAAAGGGGTGGGACCGCGGCTCTTCAGGGCTGCGGATGGCCCGGTTCTCCCGGTTCCATCTCTGTTTTTCCTCTGCCTCATGAGGGCGTAATTGTGGCATCCCACCCTCATTTTCAAGTACATTTTGTGAAAAAGACACACTCACACCCTGTAAGAATATTGTTAATTTATGTACCTGTACATTTTTGATTTTTTTGTGTTGAAGGTGTTCTCTGTTTCTTTTTTTACACGTGCATTTCTATTTGAACTCTATCCTTTTATTACATCTTCCTGTGGAAATAAAATAAATAATATAAAATAATAAAAATAGCTTAGGCTGCTGCCCCCGCGACCCGGCCCCGGATAAAGCTGATGATGGATGGATGGATGGATAATAAAAATAAAATGTGATGGAACAGCTGCTTAAAGATTGCTGATACAAAGGATTGCAGAGACATGCTCATAAGAAGATAAGTATTCATTGATGTTGTGAGAGAGAAAAAGCTGCAGCTAACCACATTGTTGTTTCCCCAACAACACTTTAATTGTGTTTTGCATGTTTTTGCAGTTTTTTATTTCTTTTTTTCTAAGCCATCTTTTGTGGGGGTTTTTAGAACACACAGACTGTGTGAATGTGAAAGCTGTTTGTGATTCCAATTATTTCTGATTGGGGTTGTAGGGTTCACAGCAGAGTAAGGTCTTCATCATCACAGCTGTTCATGTTGATCGCTGATCTTCAGCCAGGAGATTCTGTTTCACCGCAGAGGTGTTACCATTATAAACCAGACACAGACAACAGTTTTCACCACTGCAGCTTCCTGCTCTTGCAAAAAAAACCTCAAAGAACACGTCATTTATAATATGATGAACAGAAAAGACTAAAATGAGAGAAAGAAGTTCTGTTTTACTGTTCGATGCATTAGACAGCTAAATATGAAACTGTTCAGTTAGCTGATGCACTTAGATTGTCTTTTTAACATATGAGCTGTTGTATTTATTTTCTCAACTGTCCATGTAGAAGCTACAACAATAATGCTGTGAACAAATGACGAGTGTCTTATACTGTGGTCATTTTGTGCTTTGCCTATAGGATATGAGTAATTATTGAGTATTGAATTATGATGAGTAAGCGCGATTGTGGCTCAAGAGTTGGCAGTTCGTCTTGTAATGTCTCGGTCATTGTGTCCTTGGACAAGACACTTCACCTACTGCCTACTGGTGTTGGCCAGAGGGGCTGATGGTGTGATATGGCAGCCTCGCTTCTGTCAGTCTGCCCCAGGACAGCTGTGGCTATAATTGTAGCTTGCCTCCACCAGTGTGTGAATGTGAGAGTGGATGAATAGTGGAACTATAAAATGCTTTGAGGGTCTCAAAAGTGCTATATAAATGCAATCCATTATTATTTAGGAGTCATTAAACATGAATAAAAAGAATTTAGAAAGTAGATACTGCATGGCTGTCTATAACTTAAAATACTTTCTCAAGTTATTTCTTACAGTACAGTACAAACATTATTTAACAATTAATGATAGAAAAACAGAGAGTAACAAAAATAATGTATCTGCTCACTAATGAAAGTTTCCATTAAAGGTGTTAATGGAGGAGAAACCAGGATCTGTGCTCTCAAAGGTTCATCAGTGGATCTGCACTGCTCACATCAACATCTGACCTCAAACAGCAAATGGTTCACTGCACACTTAAATGGGTCAGTGAGTGAGCTCTCTGTGGATGGACAACGTGTAACGTACAACACGTCTGAAGAGACAAAAACAACTTTAACCATCAATGATCTAAGAGAGAGTGATGCAAATACGTACTGCTGTATGAAGACTACAGACAGACCAGGAAACTGTTCACTCAGTAATATTACTCTTCAAGTAGTTACAGGTACAGTGAAATTTACTTATTACTTACTTTCCAAATGACATAATTGTATAAGTTGTTCTCCATCATCCTCTCAGAGCTGCAGGTAAAGGTGATTCCTGCCACAGAG